CCCCTTTTTTGAGGCCCCAAACAGTGACAAAATACCCTATTTAGGCCCCAAACACTGTTTTTCGTTTGGGAAATGTTGTTAAAAAAGGGATCACTTTACTTTTTCGGCGCCGCCCCCTATCAAAAAGGTACACCAGGGGATTGCCAGAAGGGGTATGTGCCCCTTTCTGATTGGGGGCTTGAAGGGTAGTACCCCTTATCGCCAAGAAAATTTTGGACTTGGGAGATGCTAAAAATGATCCCAGGTCGATCGTAACGTAATGTGTAACCAACGCTGAAAAGCATTTGACTCTATCTCAATCCATTGAGAAGTTGCATCACTTTGAAATCAATTTTGATGGAAAAAAACTACGCAAAATAGTGATTTCTGGCAATTTTGAGATGACCCCTCGTTGCCATGGTAACAGGAAATTTTGAACTTAGCATGTCTTTACAAAGGCAATGGTCCAGTCAACATTTGTGCCAAGTTTGATTAGTATTTGATCATTTTTCATAGTTTCATAGCAGTTTGAACTTGTAACAGAAGGCTTTTAATGAAAACGGTCATTTTTCACAATAATTATGCTCATGATGGAAAGGGTTAAGTACTTTCTATGTTAAAGACTGGATACATTGTATTGCTTTTTACATGTGGTGAAAAGGATGTTTTTCATTAACTTCAATGAAAGAATTTAAGAGTCAGATTTTCACAAATCAAATTTAATTTTGTATTCAACTTTGCCGAGTTATTTCCCTCTTTCTTAAAGACATTTTAGGACCGCGTACAAGCCAAGTTTATGAAGTAAGCTTTCCATAATTGTAAAACTATCTTCACGATTTAAGTGGAATTTATCACAATAAGATATAATTAAACGTTTATATATAATAGATCAAAGTGGGGGCTCATAATGTCCTTTTACGTCTATCTCACATTTAAATATATCTACAAAGGTCAAATTCGTGAGAACGACTGAATTCTCTTGTATGTTTCTAATTGTTTAGGTTTAGCCTATATAGTAAGACAAAAAGTTAATTTCATTTGTTCTAATTATTAAGTTCATTATTTAACCCAAATTACGTTCATTTAACCCCAAGTACAAAACCCTAGGTTCGTTCATTTTTAAACCAACAAAGATTCATTTTCAAAAGACATGCTTCTGTTTCAATTCTCACAAAAAATATATTTCAATAATGCAGCAACGTTTTAAAAAAGGGCCAATGGTTATAGAGACACGTTCAAAAAGATGTCAAAATAGTTTTGCTCGCTTTAGTAATCCAAACGTCTTATGAACAATCAGGCATTTTAGTCCCATAACATTAATTAACTTTATTTCTAGATGTATCTTTTGTCGAAATTGTTTTATTTAAAGAAATGGAGCGGGTACATGGGTATGCTTGTCTGGGTCAAAGGTTTGTTGGTCTGTAGTAGAAATTACTATTCTCCTGATATTTAAACTTTACATTTCCAGCTATCAATTCAATTTAGCCCTAATGGAATGAAAGGGTCATTTATGAGGCCATTTTCCTCTCCCAATAACAATTACCTTTGCAAAATTCGGAACAGCTAGGTAGCGGCATTTTGAGCAAATACTGTCGTATTCGGTTAGAAATCGTTTCTTTGACTTACTCGAGTCATTTATAGATGCATTTGTCTACTGTACAACATGTTTTATGTACAAAGAATTAAAAACATCTTTTACAATCGCCGAAAGTGTTCTTTTTACCTTCAAAATAATGGTAATTCTAAAACCGTGTCACTACGTACTGTACTAGGATAAAATGTATATTGTTCTAATTTCTTGTCAATACAAAGACAAAAGAAATGTGAATAGCAGTAAGGTTGAGGATTTGCCATAATTGTACTTCAACCCCATTCTTAAAGTTCATCGAGTTAAGGCAGTGTGAACTGGAATCATATGTATGCCTTATCTCCAGTGTATATATATGTAGATATCACTGGCTTACAAGTTTAGTTATAAAACTTCTGCAATAGCCATGAAGATCTGCGTCGCTTTTGCTGGCCTCGTGGCCGTCTGCCTTGTGAGTATTATTTCTAACAATATTTAGTATATATATTTCTGTGCTTTTTGGCTTATGTCAATTCTTATAACATTCTTATACATTAAGTCACTTAAGGGAGGGGGCAGTGCAGTATAAATTTGATATTGCATTGGTTTTCAATTGTCACGTGGCAATCATGGATGAATTGAATCGGATACTTGTACATGGACATATATATCAGTGTAATGTTTCGATGCATATTTCTCAGTAGTGTAAATACAATTGTTACTTTTCTTGGGGCGAGTGTGGGGCGTATGGTCAGTAACATATAGAAATGCTGTTATTGGTGTTTTTTCCAACCTTCTAGTGGAGAAAACCTAATTTAAATGAATCAGAGCACATAATTTAAATGTTAATCTGGCATCTGGGTAGATTAGATTTGTTCCTTTCTTTCAGGCGGCTACAACTCAAAAGCCTCACCATCATACACACGAGCCAAATGAGGGAGAATCGTTCACATTTGCTTATAATGGCCATACGGTATGTAGAAACGAAAAATATGAACTTAGTTTGCGAGTTGGTGCTTCACTTAGACCTATATACCAACACAACAGTCTTACAAATTTCTAGTTAGGTTACTGTTCTAATTATTTTGATTTTCAAATATTTTTATTTAGAACTTATAGCCGTCTGTGTCTTTAACTGTCATTTAGGTGATAACGCCGACAGGAAAAATGCGGTTTTTGTTGGGGTTGGTTGTAGTTGTTAGAAAATACATTTTATCCTCCAAATTTCAGCATGACTTTATTGTGAGGCATCGTGCGGGAAAGACATACATATGTTACGTCGCAACAGTGACAGCAGACGAGATGCATCTGGTACACACAGACGCTGGAATGAGAAGTCTTGAAGTAAATCCTTCATCTCATTTTATATTTTCAATTAGTGTGTTTTGAACACACTTGTCTGTCTCGTGTGTTTCTCAATAGTATTAATGACAATATAAGATGTACATGTATTTGTACATTTGTTTCATGCTTTTCTTTGGGTGGGGAACAGGGGGTTAGTGGACTGTAAGTTACATACTGGTCTGTCCCTATTCATGTAGCAATAACTATCACTTCCGTTTACAGACATGTTAAACATGGATTATGTATTGCTTCTTTACGATTTTAACAAGAACTTGTCGATTCTGAACTTGTTTTTAGGTGTTTTTTTAACTTCTTTTCTTTCTTCTGATGCGGCATTTCCTGTCAGGTCAGTATAAAGACGGGTACGCCGATGACTTAAATCTAACTAAATACTAGTGCTACTTGGGATTCGAGTTTCATCAAAAAAAAAAGTTGCAGACAAAATTTATACGGGTTCGATATGAGTATAATAGTAATAAAATGTCAGTTTTCTTTTTTCAGCTGAGAATATTGGGACTACTTTCTTCAGCAACAGAAGTTCTGCCGTCTGCCCTTGACGCAGGTAACGTGAAATTGTGTGGCCACGCCCCTCATAACGCAACAACGATTTACAAGACAATTTCATAAACCAGGGATGAATATTCCAGTGTATTCTTTATTTTGAATAAATTAAAAATAATCTGAATGTTGTTTTATCTCCTGATGCAAATCAGAGTCGACGTTAAAATGATATAGTCATTACATTAACCAAACATGCTATACTATGTTGTTTCATGGAGATACCTTTTTATTTGTGTGAATAATGGGCGACACTAACATTTTTTTGCAGGATAACGTCCCTAATCTGACAACAGTACACTGTCATAATAAACAACTTACTCCAAGTATTTCAAGTTTCAGGTTGATATCTTTAAGGGACTCCACCGAGATCAAAAAAGAAAACAACAACTTAAAATTCTGTTGACACTCAAAACAAAAGATAATACATACAGAATTAGTGAAAATCGTAAATTTGCAATTTTCTCATGACGATTCAAGTGAAGAGCATTGTAATTTCAAGTTTGGGTAAATTTTTACAATAAGAATAATTTTTCTTGACTATGTATCAAATATATTTTTGACCTACACGCGATCTTAATTTTTTTTACTAAAGGGCACTAACTACAAATACTGAATTAATCCATATAAAAAAACCCAATCAGGTGTATAATTTCATATGCTAAACTTTCATGAACTGTCAAATACATATTGAGCTAGCATCACAAAATGTTAACTAAATCAAGGGCAAAAACTCTTGACAAAACTAGATTAATCCACCCCCCCCCCCTTTCTTGTGAACAACTTTACATGCTAAAGTTTTCCAACTAGCTCAAGCAGTTTTAGCTGTACATGTCAACCAACATGAAATAGCACATGGATACCTTGTAGTTTGTTACTTGAACAGTCACATTTTTAGTTCCCTTTCAATATTTAAAAGAAAGTGTCACTTATTTCAGCAGACTAAGTACTGGTATACTTTGAAGCAAGAAAGAAATCAACATATGAAACTTATAGTACAAAAATTGTTATAAGCTGTAACGTATAGGTATTTTTTGCTGTATGACACAAGGAAACAACAATATATTTGGTCAAAATCAGTTTTAATTCACATGTCGGCCATTTTGAAAACAGGATGTCATCATTTAAATCGAGGTAATGGTGTTTTATTTCAGTTTTTTTTTCATGTTTCAGTTAAAATTTCTACATGTTATTTTGCATCAATTTAAATATTAAAAGTATCTTTACATTGTAACTCAAAATTTATTTTTTCAACAAACAAGAACATTTAGAAAATGATACTCGTTTCAGACATATGCACAAATTTAACAGACTATTGTTGCTTTTTGCAGAAGTTTGAAAATGTTGTTCTGTTTTACGTAAAAATCTATAGATTTAAAATATTTTGCACAAAAACTTTGTTGTTTAGGTGTTTGAATAAAATATCTCAATTCTGACCAATTTTAACACTGGTCACATAAAAATATGCCATTACTATGAAATAAGTGATGACGCGGAATTAGTGATGTTGAGTATAGGTTACTAATTTGTCACAATATAACAATCAACACTATTCAGATTTTTTTCATTTATTTAGAGAGACTGTACAAGGTACGACATCTATAAAGTCTTTACTGTACCATAGCTGCAGCAGTGGCGGATTGGCTGAAAATAACAAACAAAGTCATGAATAGAATCTTGGCAACAATTCACACAAATAATAAATCCAAATTTACTAACAGAAAATAATCTGCAATCTCACTTACTGTGAAAAGTCATCTTAATACTTATCCCGAAACTAACTATTACATTTAAAGGTTATATAACATTTACTTTATTATAATCTAAACTAGATGCCTAGCTTAACCTGTTAAATTTTTACCAAAGATTTGCCATGCTTTAAAAATTGGAGCAGTTTGGAACAGTCCAGATTTCAATCTCAATATATAATTTTTTTGCTACAGCGTGGATGTTCTCTATACTAAGGGCAAAGGCTAATCCTACTCACTACCAGAAGATTAAACAATGTCCTTTTCAGATAAATTATGTTCATTAACTTGAAAATTCAAAATATTATTTTAACCCATTGATTATTCGAAGTAAATTTTCAGTCCCCGGTACTTCAGATTATCTTTGAATACTCGTGTTGGACTGTATAAAGTTTTTTGGTTCCAACAGTGGCTTTTCTAGGATTCCAAAAACATTTAATTTAAAAGTGAGAATTTATTACATTTGTTGATCTTTTTCTATGTAAAATTTCCCCCCCTGCCTCAAAAATAGATGGGAATTCTCAAAAATATGAGTGAATCCCCCCCCCATCCCCCGTCCTAAATAAGACACTGTTCCAATGACAACATGTATGTCTACTGTTACCATATTAAGACAAAATTTTTTTGACACTATTCTGTTAATGTACGAAAGGTATAATAATGTCGAACTTTTCTTCATATATCAACTTTATTTTTTTAAGTACCAGTGCAGAACTCAAGCTGCCAATAGTGTAGCAAACTACACTCCATACTAAACTAAACAAAAGCCAAGCAGGAGTTATGTATGTACATTCACTATCAATGTTCAACTTAAAGGCCTTAGTCTGCAAGCTAATAATAAGACCATCTAAAACATGACCCTCAAGATGTGTGAATAATTTCAGTGGTTCAAAGTGGTATTATATAACCATGCAAATCTAGTTATTGGGAGACCGATCTACATGATTGAAGTTTCAAGTGAACATTCAGTTAGTTAACAAGTTATACATTTTAATGTAAAACCGTATCAAAGTGTTACACCGAGTTAACAAGTTATACATTATAATGTAAAACTTTATCCAAGTGTTACACCATGGGCGTTGGCTATAGAAGGACAACCAACTTTTTTTACATCATATTAACAAAGAGCAACATACTTATGTGTGGTAATTTAGGGGAGCAGAACTTACTATTTCCAGGTTGGTGGCAGAACTCTCTTGGTCTTGTAGTATCTGGCCAATCTGTGAATTCTGCTCTCTACAAGAATCAGTCTGAACTTGGCATCCTTGTCCTGAAAGTTAACAATATTACATTGTAGTAATAAAAATTTCATACTTACTTCATTTGTTGACCATGGTTCAGTGCTATGGTTAGATATGATATGGTATGCTGTGCTATGAACTAACACAAGTATTCAATTAACTAATACTGACTAAAATCAAATGCTTTCTACAGCATATCAATTTTTACTTTTTCCAATTTGCCAATTCGAAATGCATAGATTCAATCAGAAGTGTAAATTCTATTGGCTAATCAGTTCCAATAACATTGAAGAAATCAATACAGTGGTTACAATGTTGTTTTAGCAGTCTTAATACTGAGCTACATTTTGGCACAATGTCATACTACTTCAGGGAGACAGATAGTTTATATTGAGATGTAATACAAAATTGAATAGTTAAAGGAGGACTCCTCCTATAACCATGAAAGTTTGACAAAATCCCACAAAGACCAGGTCACTCATGTTTTGCAGTGGACTGTTGGCTACATTTGTATAGTTTTATTCAAATTTCTCTTACCTGCAACATTTCAATTTCAAAGTAACTAAAGTGAATAGTTGTCTGGAATTTATTTTTGCAAGAAAACATTACGCAAGAACCAAAAATATTTCACTTCTCAAAGCTGCAAAAATATGCATTTTAGCAAAGACTCTAAAATGGGTGAAACAAAAAATGCTGCTTAAAATGCTGAGTGTAGACGAATAAATTGAAATACCATCTATATGCATCATCTGTCATTTTGTAATTCATATGCATTAAATGAATGTACCTTCCTGTTTCTTTCTAAATGTTTTCTGATGTTGACAGCTTTCTTGATCAGGTAATAGAGATCTTCTGGGATGTCCGATGCAAGACCCTTTCCCTTCAAGATTCTCAAAATTTTGTTTCCAGTGACAAATCTCACTTGAGCCACACCATGAGAATCTCTCAAAATCACACCTAAAATAAGGCATAGAAATTTTTCATTTCCTTGTCAAGAGCACTACTTTGGCACAACTTAGTCCAAAAACAGAATTAAGGAAAACTTACAATAATTTATCACTCCACAAAAACTAGAAACAGCTACTTAATTATATTTCATAATTGAATTGAAAAGAATTACAGAATGATAAAAATAATTACAAAATCTTATTTAAGTCTTATCAAGAATTAGGCTGCTTCATATACTTGCACATTTGCTTTTAATACAAATCTGGCATAAATTCTGAGTGAGCCAAAACAAAAACTAATTTTATTTCAGTTCAGCTAAGTTTGATAATATAGCAAAGTTCTGGTATAACTAAAAGACAAAACCCAATAGGTAACACTGATTATACCAGGTTTTCAACCACCGACCAGTAACTAGATTCTTAACATGGAAGAATTTAACAGCCCCAGGTATGACTTAAACTCTAAACTCCCCAACCCACCAACTTATCTGTGAATTACTAACAATCTTCTTGCTTCCAACCATGACAAAATTCTAAGATCCTGGCAGAATTAGAACCCTGCAGTGAGAAGTATTTGATTTAAACTAAGAAGTACCCAGATTTGAATATCTTTACTATACTCTGACACAGTCCCTCCTCAGTGTATCAATCTTAAAAGGTAGGACAACAAAATTATTTTCCAAGTGCACAGATAATAAATGCTACCTACCAATCTGTGAAGGAGTCAATCCTTTCTTTGCCAGCTTAAAAATCTGTTCTTGAACATCTTCTGATGTCAGTTTCAACCACTGAAATAATAAGAAACTTTACATGCTGGCACAATTCACTAATTACCTAACATCTTAACAATTTTTTTTGCGAGATCTTAACAGGATAATTTTATTTAATGAATAAAAAACAACGAAAAGCCTTGGAGTGTTTAGCCTAAACGTTTTCATGTTTGAACTTCAGGTGTACTGGTAAATTTTGAAATGTACACCCCATTTTCAATGACAGGGAGTGCATATACTTTTACATTTGAAATTGATTGGCAATTAATGCTGCTTCAAACCTGGCTTTGGTTCAAATCTTCTCATAATTTACCAATCCAATCAAATAATTGCTGAATATGAATTAATAAATGTAATATGAAGCCTATTTTAAAACAAATTTTCATGGGATTTATTCAAGAGCTTTCTACTTACTGTTGGAACTGATCGTCTGTAAGGGAGTGCTGACTGGGATATACCCTTTCTGGAAAAAATAACAACGTAACAATTAATGGAAGGTTAAACTTAAAACATGTGAAAATCTTTAAATGCTCCTATTAAAGTGAATTGGTCTATATAAAAGGTCTGTAACACAATTACTAATTAATACACTATGCCCTTGACCCGTATTTTCGGGGGTTTAATGTTTTAAATTTAAGCCACCGTTTTTTAATTAATAGTAAATGGAAGACAAAAAACATCAACAGTGAGTAAAAACTATGACAAACAAAAGGGAACCGTTTAAAATACGAAAATAAACTATTTCAGTAAGAAATCCTAATCTTTCTACTTTCACTATCAGTAATCTGTGTCGCTCGGAAGCTGTCTCATATTTTCGGGGATTTTGATTGGATGGCCTCGTTTCGGTAGTTACATTGCACACGCTCAAATTCTATACAGCACTCAAATTATTTCGGGACATCACTCAAATTATTTCGGGACATTGGTTTAAGTTAGGCACAAGTCGCGGTGATGAATTTTTAGGCGAAGATACGTTTTCAGGTTCTTTTTTGTTGCGGTGTAGTTGAAAATAACATATTAAAATGAGAAAAGAAAAAATTATAATTGAAATGACGGAAACAGGACGTTTCGGCCCCAAACCAAATCGGCCCCAGTAGAAAAATCGGCCCCTGGACGTTTCGGCCCTTTTCCGCGAGACGTTTCGGCCCTACTATATAGTATGGCTGCTTTTCCTTAAGTCGTGGGTTTTCCTTGAGTCATGGGTGGGTTAAAATCGTAGATGACGTTTTGTATGGTTAAAAATGTATTTTAATTATATATATTACTTATAATTTGTTGTTAAAAAGTTGTAAATACTGTAAGGCCTAAAAAAAAAATATGTCTGTTTCGGGTAACCCGACCCTACCTATAAAAATGCGCCGACCCTAACTATTTTTTTCCGTTTCTGGGCAAAAAAATATTCGTTAGCGAATAGAGAGTTTCAAAGGGCGGATAAATGCGAATTGAACGCTTGAGACGCTGTCGTAAAACGCTCAGACGATTTAGATCGGTCTTTTTTTGTTATACATGTTTTGATTGGCTCGTGCAGTTTTGCGGTCCAATGAAAATCACGCTATCGGAAACTGGCTGTTATAACAAGCAACATGGCGAAAAATTGACTGCGGAATGTCTGTATTAAATATTTATAGGAAGAAATGCGAACACGCGGCAGAGTTGAGATGTTTCCGGGTGTTAGACTCTCAGATGACATTTTCAAAACTTGAGAGCCAAATGCGATGTCATCTCGATGGGTTAATGGAAGTTTCCCTTTCCAAAAATGAAGGTACCGTCAAAGATAAATGGTTCGAAGTTTGAATTCAATGTCAGAGTCAATATTAAAACACAAGCTGCATGCTATAAACAAAAGACAGATTTCTTTCATGTATTCGACATTGCATAGTTGCCTTCCACTTAGGGGAATATTTTATTCAGGCCTGTTCAGTTATCTTGACATGATAAGTCGTGCAGTTGAAATGCTGCTGAACGTGGTGCTACTATTAAAGGGGCTGTGAATAGCATGCATGTAATATTCCTTTCATTTAATACTGCTTTGATATGTAAAGATGCATTAAAATCGAGTCTGTTATTTTCTATCTTTCATTAATTTTGTTTTCATTGCTTTTAATATTTAAAATTTGAAAAGCTGTTTTGATATGTCCTGTGCCACACTTCAAAATGAATCAACAGTTACATTAAAATGAAAATGACACAGAAGTTACACATTTCAGCTTGACTGGAAAATTAAAAGTGTTGCAATTTATTAAACCAGTTAGAGTAGTTAGAGGCAAATGAGACCGTAGTCCCACTGAAAATCAAGTGGACTTGAGTATTAAGTATAGCCACAGGTCAGATGACATATGTACAAAGCTGTTCCGGAGACCTGCAAAGCTGTTCCAGTGTAATTTTTCATCCTCTTTTGCATACTACTAAACAAATTTTTAGCCAGACTTGGAGTCTGACTCTGTGCTGTGCATTATTTTGTTTCATACCGTCACAAATGTATCCCATTTTCCATGTGTGTTATTGAGATCTAGTCTTTGCTTTTTTCCAGATGGGCCATGGACAATTTTAGATGACACTTTTTCTGACATCTATGAAATGCCAATTGGCATTCTGCTCAGCCAGGTAAGAGATGGAAAAAAGCAATGAAGTAGTTTTTCTGTCTAACATTGCAACATGTTTTTAATATTTAAAGTATGAGAAAGCTAGATATTAATTAAATATAAAATTTCCCAACTTTGCAACACAAAGCAGATCTTAACAGGTGAAAACAACCATTGCATTTAAGTGAAAAACAGGAATACTGCAAAGATAGTTTTTTTTATAGATTTGTGCGTAGTGCATTCCCAACCTTCTATAGATACTAAGACACAATATTCAGTGAACACTGATGTCCTACTATATATTACTTTTCAGAACTTTTATTTTCAGTTTCCGGGTACAAAATACATACAGCTACAGTGTGTTCCTCAAACAGAGGAAACATTTCATGCGCAGACCAGCAATACCAGTGTGGAAAAAAGAACAAATGCTTTTGAAGTCTTGATGGAAAATAGTAAAGCTGTTGCCACTGCCCCATTAAAAAAGATCAAGGTAAATATATAACATTGAACTGAGTATGACTGACAGTTTTGTGACATATATTAACAATGTTTTTACTGTTCACAATCTTATGACAGCCCTGCATAAGATATGCCAAGTTGTCGGATTCTATATTGATACCATTATTTGATGGTGTTGGACTGGGATTGAACATGAATCTTTTTGTTTAATATCCAGGGCAAACTAAGCTACACAAGGCAGCAAACTGTATAAGGAAAACCCCAGATATACACTGCCAGAAATTAGGGAAAATTAACGAAGACATTTTCCACTTAAAATTTAAATGCATGGCTCAATAAATATTTTATTAAATATAGCTCTGGTGTTTCCTCTGGGTCACTCTCAAGAAAAGATGAGCTATACAACAATCTGGTTGATCTGATGGTGTCAAGAAAGTTGTTCTTCTATGAACCAACAACAGAAGGCCAATATGTCACACAGGTAAATTGTCATCAATTACTTTTCTTTTGACAGTTCAGTCTATCATTGAAGTACTACTGTATTAAATAAAACTATGAAAAGCATTGAAAACAGTAAAATGCACGACTGTGGCTAATTGTTTCTCTGATGTGGTTGACACCCTCAGAAGATTATTGATCTATATACTAAGTGTGTAAAGCACCCAAGGCAGAGTAGAAAGCTGCCAGCAGTTACACCAGCATTTCAGTTTCTACATTCAAACTTAAGAAACATTTAAGCTTTACTAGCATATTATAAAATGGAACCAATTTATGAGCACTTTGCAATCAGTGTAAACCGAGATCACGTTGATCTGACAAGAATTTCACTGTTTGCTGTCCATTTACATGCATATGTAGTATCAAGTGTCATTTACATGCATATGTAGTTTTAAGTGTAAAGCAAATGCACAAAAAATTCAGTGCATATTCAGGAGGCTTGTTAAATATTTGAATGCTATCTGAATATTGTTTTTCCAGGGATATTAGACTGGAGAACTGGTTAAGTATTATAGCTTTGGTGTGGAATAGCCTTAGTATAGAGTCTAGCACTGTAGATGTACTTTTATATGTTTAATACTGTAGTAGTGTGTCATCTCTGGGATTGGTTTTCTATCTGCACAAATACAAACATCTTTACTTTCAATGAATGTTTAATGACAAATGCTTTTATGTTTTAAATGCTTCTTCTGTGTCTATACTAGAACAACACAATTTCTGTCTATTAACAATACACTAATACTTCAAATATTGGAGCCACATTGCATGAAACTGTTTCTTCAGAAATCTTCATTTAAAGTTTCTTTTTTTTAAAGTTAAGTTCGGAGACATCCTGCACATGCATAGTGAAGAATTTGGTATTAGAAATTGCTTCATTGTTTATTAAAATAAAAATAAATATTGTTTCTTTGTCTGAGCAGTATATATAAAAATATAACATAGTGGGCCTTGATCAGACTGCACAAATGCCTGAAGATTTCCAAAGACACAATCTCAAATGAGATGGCTCCATTTTTGTACCTAACTACACTTTTAAAAGCAGAAAGGACCTCTTGACAAAGACCATCTGGTGTTTCATATTCATGCATTCTTGCCTAAACTTTAATTTTGCTTTTAATATTTAAAATACAATCAAAACCATTTTTGTGTGTTTCATCCTATAGACTCAGGAACCTAAATTTAGAAAATATTTGTCATGAAAGTTGTTTTTACCGTGAGGCCTGTTCATGTCTGACATCCGGTTTAATTTGAGAGTAGTTTCAGAACATTAAAAGTATATCAGAATATCACTCTTTGTAAATTTATGAATCCTTTTTTAATGAAATGTATATGTAGAACATTAAGTATTTAAAAAGCAAGGCTGAAACGGCCATATATCTAGGATTGTGGGTGACGGCTTAACCCTTTGTTCATATGTCAGAACTTAAAAGTTTACCAAAGATTTATTCTTGAGCTACTGATGCAGTGCATTTTACAATATCTGATATTAAATGAAAATAAGACATAGATTGTTTTTATTATTTTAATATTCAGAAGTGTTTAATTTTTGATATTATTTAACTTTCAGGCTCTGACCAATGCTCTATGGTACATAACCAACCAATATACGGTCATAAATGAGAGAAGTCAGCGTGAGAAAGGTGTGAAACCAATTCCTACAGCCTTTCAGGACTTTGAGGTACCATTGAAATCAAACATTAAAATAACACTCTATTTTTAGAGATAACCCCTTGCAATAACTTAAACACTTCACAACAGCAATTGTCCAGTGATATGTCAGACTGAAAAATTATTGTTCAAAGCGGCGTAAAACCCAAACAAACGAAACAAACGTACATCATTTTATGTTGATACATTTTCTGGTCTTTTATGTTAGACCATTTTCTGGTCCTTTATGTAAGACCATTGATTTCAACATATTTTG